ATGCTGGCTCTGCACATGGCTCCCAGCACATCCCTGCAGCCCTTTGGTGTGTGAGGGGGCTTGGGGGCAGGGAGCCTATGGCTAGGAGTGGAGCCAGCCCAGCGGCCGGCCATCAGTGGAGCTGGGAGGGGATGTGAAGCCCAAAGGAGAGCTGGCTGGGTTTGCTGAGCAAGGGTGCTATTTATGGAAGGCTGGGGGGCAGTAGCTCCCTCCTGAGGTTGGAACGCCTGGATTTCAAACTTGAGATCTGCTTAAAGCTGCATGCCCTGACTCTGAGGGAGTTCTTAAATGCAACAGAGTTTGAGCTGCTTGAAGATTTGCCTTTGGGGAAGAGAGTTTGTTATAAAAAGAGAAGGGCAGGTGATTAAGAATAGCAAAAGGCTGAGCATTTAGGCAATTGAAGGATTGTTAGATCATCATGAAAACATTGCTGGCTATTCCACTTAAAAGATAGGGGGAAGTAGGAATGAGCTCTGTGCTGCTAGGATTTGCATTTGGATCACTGCTGTGAAACTTACAAATGTTCCTGAGAAAGGGGTGAACAGGGACTTAACCAGAGTTGACTGCAAAGAGTTAGAAAGGGATTTCACAAAACTGGGTGAATGGGCAACAGAAAGGCAGATGGAATTCAGTGTTGATAAGTGCAAAGTAATGCACATAGAAAAACATAAGCCTAACTAAACATACAAAATAGCTGATACCAAATCGCTGTGGATAGTTCCCTGAAAACATCTGTTCAACGTGCACTGGTAGTCTAAAAACTAAAACAGCTAACAGAATGTTGGGAATCGTTAGGAATAGAAAATAAAACAAAATACCACACAAAGTCATGACATGCACACATCTTGAATGCTGTATGCAGATCTGGTCGCCCCATCTGAAAAAAGATATACTGGATTTGGAAAAGACACAGAGAGGGCAACAGCAATGATTAGGGGTAAAGAAATGACTAAAGAAAAGAAATGACTAAAGAGTGAGGGAATATGTTAAATGTTTTAGAAAATCAAGAATGGTGTGGAAAAATAGAATAAGGAAATGTTTTTTATTCCTTCACTAACATAACATAAGCAGCTGACCCAATTAAATTTACAGGCAGAAGATTTAAAACAAACAAAATAAATTATTTGTTCACAAACAATTTGTAGAACTCTTTGCCAGGAGATGGTGGAAAGACCCAAACCAAAACAGGGTTCCAATAAGAACAAAATAAGTTTAAGGAGGACAGGTCCATCAATGGCTACTAGCCAGAATAGGCAGGGATGGTGTCCCTAGCCTCTGTTTGCCAGAAGTTGGGAATGGGCAACAGGGGATGGATCATGATGATTGCCTCTTCTGTTTATTCCTTCTGAAGCACCTGACATTGGCCACTGTTGGAAGACAGGATACTGGTCTGATCATTATGGCCATTCTGATGTTTTTATATAGAACTGAAATGTATCTGCCCCCTTGCTGTAACCCACTAGACCCCACTCCCCTTCCAAAGCTGTGATAGAACCCAGGAGTCCTGACGGAATCTGTTACAGAATTAGTAACAAAATAAGAATATACATTAAAATTATAAGGCTAAAAAGTTTAAGGCAGTGTTCTTAGGTGACCTGCCACAAGGTGTTAGTGTTAGAGCTGAGTGGGTCTACTATTTATTTAGTTTTCTTTCTTTTATATAGGAATTAGATACAGTGCTTCTGTCAGCTAACTGCTAAATTGTCTACCAAAAAAAGTAAAGTTTTCCAGTGACTTGGTAGCCCCTGGATAGAGATGATGTGGGGAATGGGGAGGGTAGATGGGGTTAATTCCCCCCCTTCCCATTTGGGGCTTGGCTTGTACTGAGCATGCTCAGTAACACTGACCAAGTCTCTGTCCTCAGTCCATCCCTCTATGTTCTCATGCTCTTCCCCTGTCGCCATCGTGGGTTGGCCCTCCCCCACCAAAATCTGAAATGGTGCCCCTGCTGCTGTGACATCCTGGGAGAGCCCTGGAGTCCATCAACAGAGGAGCCACTGACCTCCCCGGTCCTGTATTTGTCTTCATTTATATTTTTTACAATGGTATAACAACAACATTTGTTGCAAGATTCCTCAGTAGTACAATAAGGTGTATGTGCAGTGCTTCTCTCTTATGTTAAGGTACAACACTACTTAAGCCTTGTTCTCCATTTTAAATTTTCTAAAACTCAACTTTACAAGTACACTTTGTTTTCTTTACTGTTAGGAATGCTACAGTAACACTGCTACGTTCTACAGACCAGCATAGGTTTATTGCAGCGTGTCAATGCACCACTGCAATTAGCAGCATCTGGCCCTTTAATAAAAGAGCATTTCTGCAGACTCAAAAGCTCAGTAGTTTAACTCTGGGCATGTAAATGCTAGAGATTTGTAGCACCTTTAAATGAGACATGAGTTAACTGGACCAGATCAGCACCAAACAACTCATCCCTTCTGATGCTTGAAAGGATTTGTCAGTTAAAAGGAACAAATATTTGTTGCTATTCCCAGCTCATTAAGAGAATTTCACCCTGACAGAAAAGTGAGTATTGGCAAGTAGTACAGATTGTTGCACAAGCAGCTAAGTTGTAAACAGGTCAGCTTGTCTGCTGCAGAAAATGGCCAGAAGATTCCCCTCAGCTTTACACTGAAAGAATTTTGTTGCCATTTGCCTGCTTTCCAGAATCTTCTCATTAGCCCTCCCCAACTCCTACAACATATTCTGGTAGACCACCTTAGAATGAAGCATTATTCAATCATTCTGGATCTTTTAAATTTGAGTTTAGGGAATACAGACTCCAAGGTGTGACAGGAATACAAGAAGCAACATTTGAAAAGTCACTTGCTTTACACTGTAATTTTAAGCACCATGAAGCCCATTACCTCAACTTTGCTTCCTGGATCATGGGCAGCAGCAGCAAAGTAGACTATCTCCTGGACTTCTTCTCGAGGCCGTGCAGAATTTTTTCCAAACACGACAAGACCATCTTTAGTGCGTGGTGGGAAAGCAACAAAACAATAACTGGGAGGAGCCACAGCCATCCTAAAAAAAATAAAGGGAAAAGAATAACACAAGTCTGACTAGGGTTTCAACAGGCTCTCAAAAAATCATTAGTTCTAGCTGGGGAACAATTATTCCACTGTCATATTCGTCTCATTCTCTTGTCATATCAGTTAAGTGCAATTGGTGAAAGAGAAGTGGGTCAGTTCAGTTTAGTCTTATTTGGAGTTTGAAAAACACAGTTAAATTACAGTGAGTTGCAGCCATCCCATACGCAACTGTGAAGGCAGAAGTGTAAGCGGGGAGGGGGAGAAGAGAAGGTGATTGTGACTTGATAATAAGACTGGTTAGACTCTGAAAATGGAAGATACTGAACAACTCTGATGCAAAGTAACACTTGACCTAGATGCATTCTGCTGACTCAGAAACAGGCACTGTACCAGAGCAGAGAGATTCACAGGAATGTTAAATATTCTACTGTAATCTTCTTCCTCTATTGCAGTTTAAAAAAAGTGATCTCTCAAATGGTATAACTGGAACCAGGACAAAAAATATGCAGAAAGCACAAGTGGTAGGAGAGGCTGCCTGTCAGTTTAACTGCCTGTGCAAAGAGAAGAGTTATCATAGTCACTGCTAAGTGAATGAACCTGGTTTTCCCTCTATGGTTTGTCTGCAAATATTTCAACCATTGCCAGTATGTAAAGACTAATCTGGAAATTCCTCAAATGCCTTTACCAGGATACAAATATTTGAAGTAGCCAAGCGGCCAGTTAATATACTTAGGAAGATTAACCAGCTAACTTTAAGTAAAAAACACTCTATTGTAGATAAATAACTAAAATCTTATTATATGCATACATCTGTGGATGGGAGCATATATAGTTTGTTGGGTAGGTATTTTGCCTAGTATCCTAACATGCCTCACTGACCCTGCAATTTCTGCCCCCTTCATTTTGTTCAAAATGCTGCTGCTAAACTCCAACGTCTTTGCCCACCTGGCTGATCACATAACTTTCTCTGAATGCCTCCATTGACTTACTGAAAGTGCCAGCATAGACAGACTCAAACCTGGGACCTCTGGAGCTTAGAATATGAGTCTCTGCAGCAAGGCTGAGCAAAATATAACTGTGGACCGGATCCAGTCAGCCAAGCCACCAGATCTGGCCCACGGATGCAGCGGGAAACCTCAGTCAGACTCTCTGCGGCTATGTCTACCCTGGCGGCTTCTTGCACAAAAACATCTTGCACAAGGGAATCCATGGCAGTGTGGACACTCTCTTGCGCAAGAAAGTTCTGATGGCCATTTTAGCCATAGGGCTTTCTTGCACAAGAAATCCCTGCCACGCATCCACACTGCCCTCTTGCACAAGAGCTCCTGCACAAGAGGGCTTACACCTGCTAAAAAAAAGCGTAGCTCTTGCACAAGAAGCCCTCTCTTACCATGCCATACTGTAAATCTTCTTGCGCAAGAGCAGGCGGGCAGTGTGGATGCTTTCTGGAAGAACGGCCGCCTTTGCACAATAACCCGCCAGTGTAGACATAGCCTGCTTGTCCCCCCACCACTACCACTCAGAAAAGTGGCTGCTGCAGCCATTTCTCTCTCTCTCTCAGCTATGAGCCCAGGGGAAGAGGGAATCATGCATCACATGCTGCTACTGCCCCCAGCACAATCTCATTGGCCAATTTCTGGCCTATAGAAGCTGCCTCTTTGAAGAAGAGGCAGCGTGAAGCACCACTCTCCTTACCCTTCAGGCTCTTATTCACAGATGCACATGGCCCCTGCTGCCTGTGCAAGGAAAGAGCAGGCAGGAAACCTGCCTGAGAACCCTGCTGGGCTGCTGGCTGGGAGTCATCCAGTGCCACTCGATGGGACAGTGCACCACACCCAGCAGGTGTGTTGCTTACATAATCACGTGAGATCACATTTCAGCTTCTCGCAACCTGCAAAGCTCTACATACCATTCATCTCTGGTTAAGTTTGTAATAAACCTCCCCCATCTCTTCCACCCATGGTCTCAGCCACCTTAGTTTATCAGATTCTCAAAATCACCTCCACGCCTTCTTCCACGCTAACCTTTGTATGGATATTATGTTACCTCTGAGCCCATCTTCAAGGTCTCTACTCTGTTCATATTTAAGACTCACTTCTGCCATACTGCCTCTATGGAATTAATTGGCTTTT